CAATGGACAGGCAAGAAACCACACATATTTAAAGTACACAGTTTAATGAGTTTTTTTTTTTTTTTTTTTTTTCACTGTTGTGGCCTCTCCCATTTGCGGAGCACAGGCTCCGGACGCGCAGGCCCAGCGGCCATGGCTCACGGGCCCAGCCGCTCCGCGGCATGTGGGATCCTCCCGAAACGGGGCACGAACCCGCGTCTCCTGCATCGGCAGGCGGACTCTCAAGCACTGCGCCACCAGGGAAGCCCCAGTTTAATGAGTTTTGATGTGCATACACACTCCATAAGGTCATCACCACAGTCGAGACAGTGAACATATCCATTCCACCCAAAAGTTTCCACACGAGCCTTTGTAATCCCTCCCTCTGCACTCGCCCCCTCTCCCAGTACCCAGGCAATCATTTACCTTCTTTCACTTACAATAGATTAGCTTGCACTTTCTAGAATTTATATAAATGGAATGTTATAGTATGTTCTCTTTTTTCATCTGGCTTCTTTCATTCAGTATAACTTTTTTTATTGAGATGAAATTCACATAACATAAAATAAACCATTTTAAAGTGAACAATTCCGTGGCATTTAATGCAGTCACAATGTTGTATGACCACCACCTCTATCTAGTTCTAAAACATTTTCATCACTTCCAAATAAAACTCTGTACCCATTAAGAGGTTGCTCTCCATTCCCCCAGCCCCCAGCCCCTGGAAACCACCAATTATATCTCTATGGATTTACTTATTATGAATATTTCGTATAAATGAATCATACAATATGTAACTTTTTGTGTCTGGCTTCTTCCACTCCTAGGTATATACTCAAAAAAATTGAAAACTGATACTCAGACAAATACATGTACACATGTTATAGCAGCACTATTCACAATAGCCAAAAGGTGGAAATGGCCCAAATGTCTATCAATGGGTCAATGGATAAACAAATTCTGGTATAAACATACATTGGAATAGTATTCAATCACAAAAAAGAATGATGCACTGATACATGCTACATCATGGATGAACCTCATAAATATGCTAGGCAGAATCGTTTTGAAGTTCATATTCAAATTTTTGCATGTATCAATAGCTCATTCCTATTTATGGCTGAGTAATATTTCATGGTGTGGTTATATCACAGTTTGGTTGCATTGTTTCGCAGTTTGGGGCCATTACAAATAAAGCGACTATTAACATTCATATGTCTTCATGTGTCTTTATTTGGACGTATGCCTCATATGCCTTTATTTCTGGGAAAGCTATTGCAAAACATCTATTTAGCAAAGGACTTGCAACTAGAATATACAAAGTGCTTACAACTCAGTAAGAAGACAATAAAAAAATGGGCAAAGTATTTGAACAGGCACACTTCAGCAACGAAGATACATGGATGGTGAATAAGCACGTGGGAAGATGCTCGATTGCATTAGTCACTAGAAAAATACAAAATAAAGCTACAATGAAAAAAAAAAGCTACAATGAGATACCACCACGGAACTCTTAGAATGGCTAAAAGGGAAAAGAATGACTATACCGAGTATTGGCAAAGGATGTGGAGAGACTGGAACCTCTCACACACTGCTGGTGGGGAACGTAAGATGGCACAGCCCCTTAGGAAAACAGTCTGGCAGTTTCTTAAAAACTTAAGCATATGCCTCCCATGTGACTCAACAATTCCATTCCATTTCTATATTACTTCAATTAAAGTGAAGTCAAGTGGAATTATCTTGAAAGATTTTTGCCTGAAAACTGATGTTATGGATGAAGGTGAGTGCATTCTCAGCTCCGACCACTGTGGTTGTACGTTGCTTGGTGGCTTCTAGGAAAGATGGCTTTCTCCACAGTGCTGTAAACACTAAGATGTTAGTCCTGCCGCTGCAGTGTTGGACTTTATCCTTCCCTGTTTCTTCTTCCTGTGTGGTGAAAAGATTGAAAACCATGCCTCATTTTACTTAGGAGGAGATTGAAGGCAAGAAAGAGGAAGTAAATTGTTCAGATCAGAGTGAAAAAATGTCTGGCCTAGAATCTCAGCCTCTTTACTAAAAGCTCACAATTTCCAGGTATCACAGCTCCCCTTCTCCTCACACACTAGGAATATTTTTTTTCCTAGGACTTGGAAGGTTTAGTGTGAGACTGGCTTCCAAAGGGTTAATCTATCCACTGTGCCTCCGGCGCTGGAGGATATTGACAGCAGTCAATGCCGGTAGCTGTATTCGATTTTTACTTGTTTTTGCTCCTCTGTTGAGTACAGAAAGGCCGATAAAGATATTTAAGTGTAACTTTTCATCACATGCCCCGGATCCCTCCTCTTTATAACATAAGGTCCTATACTGTAATCTGAATATGAACTGTTTTGCCATACGAATAATTTTTCTTTGCTGGAGAAAACCGGGTGCTCGGCAGATGAGACTGGAAGTGTATCATTCAGATGACTCGACCATCTTCGGGGAGCTTTGGTGCAGCGGGACAGAGTGCAGGTTGCTGGGAACGCCCGGGCTCCCGGATGCTGCCACCATTTCCTGACTCCGTGACTCGAGCGCTCATTCTCCCTTGTCAGGGCTGTTTCCCACTTCATGAGGTGGGTTAATAGTATCAGCTCTGAGGGATGAGCCACCTGAGTGGAAGGGCTTTGCATAACGGGCAGCGCAGGGCAGGTGGAGAAGCTCGACCCAAGTGTAATTTGTGTCGATAAGGGAGGATTCTCTGGAAATGGTGTGTACAAGGAAATAAAAGGGTCTTATTGGTGGAGACTGGGATGTTCACATGGTCACTTATTAATTAGCCAATAACGCAACAAACTGACATTACGAGCCTCTGGATGTGATGCAGTAGAAAAGACGCAACGTCACTCACGTAGACTATTGTCATCAACAACTAAAATGACTCTCATCCTGCAAAAACAGACAAACCCAGGTTGTAGAGACCCAGGGGGGATGTACCTGTTCCTCACAGCATTCAGGGAGTCTCGGGGCAAAGAAAGTGTCTTTATTGGAAATAAATATGGAAGAAGCCCCACCCAAGTGCTAGAGGGTCTGCTTTGTCCTCTGTAGGTAAATATCGCAGCACATTCTGGCATGACCCAGGCTTCTCACACCGGCTGAACCCATTGGCCAGTTCTGAAGGAGAAAGCAGAATGAGTCGGCCAAAGTGTGGACTGAGGGGCCCAGAATTGATTTTAGCGCAGCCAGAGCCTGAAACAGAGGTCTTGGCAAGCTCCTTTCCCTCTTTTAGTTTTGGATCCTTTTCTACAAGAAGCACAAGGAATAGTTGCAATTGTTGCTCCTAATAGGGAGAGGAAAGGAATGAGAAGGGAAGGGAAGGAAAAGGAAGGGTAGGGAAAAGAAAAGAACCAGTACTGGTAATGCTACAAGTGGATGCCTTGGAGCACTTTAGCACAAGAAGAATCTCTGTCTCAGGCTCTTCTAGGACATCCATCCCAAGGAAAGCACTTCCTGGCTGTGTGTATTAAAAAATCCTAGTAGCTGAAACAGATATATTATCAAACTAAATTTCTGTGGTTTAACATAATAGATGTTTATTTCTCACTTGTATCACATTTACTTGATGGAGTATTTGAGGAAGGAGGTGGCACTCCTGCTTTGTAACCACTGAGGTTCAAAAGTGATACCAGTCATTTCTGCCCACATTCCATTGGTGGGGACTAGTCACATGGTTCACTTAGAGGCAAGGGAGGCTGGGAAATGTAATTCCCCTGGCTAGACAGTTGCCACTTAGTAACATCTTTACACCCTGAAGGGAGCATGGATCTTTGGTGGGCAGTTATCTCTGCCACATTGTATGACCTTGGGCAAGTTATTTAACTCCTTTGGGGCTCAGTTTCTTTAACTATAAAATCAAGCTATTAATAGAATCTCCCTCAGGGTATGAGTCATGATTCAATGAGTTGAAACAAAAAGTGCTTGGGGGCTTCCCTGGTGGTGCAGTGGTTGAGAATCCGCCTGCTGATGCAGGGGACACAGGTTCGTGCCCCGATCCGGGAAGATCCCACATGCCGCAGAGCGGCTGGGCCCGTGAGCCATGGCCGCTGAGCCTGCACGTCCAGAGCCTGTGCTCCGCAACGGGAGAGGCCACAACAGTGAGAGGCCCGTGTACCACAAAAAAAAAAGTGCTTGGACTAGGGTTGGAACAGAGTAAAGGCTCATAACATTGACTATTTTTATCGTTTGTTGAGAACCTACTTTGGGTTATATACAGACATTAATCCTCAGCACAACCCATGAGGTGCAGGTAATCATTACAACTACTTTACAGAAGAGGATAATGAAGTTCAGAGAGGGGAAGTAAATGACCCAAGGCTACACAATCAGGGAGCAACGGAATCCGGTCTGGTAGCAAACAGTTTTACACACCAAGGACTGTCAGACCTTTTGCTAAATAGCCCCACATCCAGACTTTGCATAAGTCACTGGAAATATACCGACTCCCAGAAAGGTTGCCTTAATAACCCGACTTAGCCGTACATTGCTGGTCCCCTGCCAGCCTTTCCTCCCTCATCTTCTATCACCCTCCCTCTTACCCACCATAGTCTAGCCATTTGCTTTCTTTCTAACCTTCACATAAGCCAAGCTAGATCCCACCTCAGGGCCTTTGTACTTGCTTTTACCTCTGCCTGGAATGCTCTTCCTGCCTGTCTTTCCACGGCAAGCTTTTTCTTTTCATTCTGCTTTCAGCTCAAATGTCACCTCCTCAGGGAGGCCCTTCGTGATCCCAGCTCAGTCACTCACTTTCACATCACCTGGTTTTCACTCTCTGCCCGGCACCCAGCACCATTTTTTTTTTTTTTTTTGGTGCTCATGTATTTTTTTAGTGTCTGTCTCTCTCACTAGACTGTGAGTTCAACAAAAACAGTGGCTTCATTCTTATTGGTCTTCCTGATTCCCCAGAAATTAGGACAGTACCAGACACAGACTCCAGCCTAGTAAATATTTGTTGACTAAAATCAGACATTTAAGTGACAGCCTATGACCTTATGTGCCTCTTTGCCCACCTTTCCTTCTCTTCTTCCAGGGACATTGCTTCAGGCCACACACAACTCCAGAGGGTGCCATTCACACAGCAACAATGTGGCTCACTGGGGAGGGGGTGATGTTTCTTTAGTGCACAACCTAGACAAACGTGGTGATGGCACTGTTACATCCTTCCTTCCTTCCTACCTTCCTTCCTTCCTTCCTTCCTCCCTCCCTCCCTCCCTCCCTCCTTCCTCTCCCTCCTTTCTTTCCATCCTTCAATAAATATTTATTGAGCACCTATGCTATTCCATGTTAATAGTGGAGACACAGTGGGAGATGAGAGGAACGTGCCTCTGTCCATGGAGCAAATTTTAAACTTGCAAACGCAAAGAAAAATACAATGTATAAAGATGTTGAAATAAACACATAATTGCAAGTTTTATGTTCATTTCTCTTTGTCCATTATTCTCACTCTTTTTTTTTTTTTTTTTTTTTTTTTTTTTTTTTTTTTTTTTTAGCT